ACATTACATTACATTACATTACATTACATTACATTACATTACATTACATCACATCACATTACATTACATTACATTACATTACATTACATTACATTACATTACATTACCGACAACCGGCCCTCCCCCTCCCTCCCTTCCTTCCTAGCTAGTTATCTGGCAAAATTGCGTACTCATCCTGAGTGTGACAGTCTGAGGTACGATGAGTTCGTCAATTTCATGGCGCACATAGCACCTGCAGTCCCCGAGGCATTTCTTGTTTTCTCTTCGATTATTCAGTTGCTCTAGCATGGTTTATTGTGTGGGATGCCGTGGCTACTTCGCAGGCAGACTGCGCTTCTTTCTTCATGGCCGTGGCAGAGGACACCTCAGCTGACATGACGCAGGAGGTGCCACGAGTTCATGGGGTGACTTCTGTAGCAGCATTGGTAGCATGAGAGGTGTTCATCAACTTGGTTCAGCGGGTCGGCGTCTCCTCTGACCTGGTCCTCTTCTCATCCGCCTTGACACAGGATGTCCTGTCTTTCTCATGCCGCAGCCCAGGATGGACTTAAGAGCTTGGTGGAGGCTCGAGCAAAGGCGGATCAGGGAAGTTGTGACTGTAGCCGGGTACCCCGCACGGCATTCTGTTGAAGCGGAGGCTTAGCAAGTGCTGCTGGTGGTGATGGGCGAGGGAAAGGCAATGCGGAGACTGCTGGCCAGAGCCAGCACATGCAGTAAACGCCACCAAGAAAGGTTCAATTACGGGAAAAAATCATTCTGAGAAGAACTCAGAAGCAGAGCTCAGCCTACGTCTAAGGCGTGGCTTGACATGTACATAAGCTTCGAGCAGACCAACATGGTCTCTCATCATTTGGGTGCACATATCCCGCAGCCGCAGCACGCATGTGGAAGGCATGCTTTCCTTGTTTGAGGGAAACAGACCTGGATTGCAGCTTGCGTAATGGAATCGTTAGGGATTGTTCGGAACCCACAACAGACTTGATCAACGCAGGTGGGCCTTGACTTATCCCGGAGTCGGTTCTTGATGTTGTAGCATGCGCCATGGATGTGCTTTATGCTAGAACTGCGCTTCAGGTACTGACAAGTGGACTTCTCAGTGGATGCGCTTATCCCATAGTTGCTCTTGAAGTGGTTAACGGCCCGGGACCTACATCGTGGACTCACAGCGGTCACGCTCGAAGCTTTCCCTTTCCGCCATCATGCTGCTCAGGCCACGCGCTGGTTGCGTTGGAGAATCCCTGGTTCCAGGCCCCGGACATCTGTTTCTCGTTGCTTGGCGACCGGCCTTTGGCGCAGGGGCGATGGAACGGGCATTGGGGTCCTGACAGCCCCGGGCTGGAGCCTCGGAGCGTGCAACACTCCAACGGAAAGCAACAGACTACGGCGTTGCAAGTGCAATCAGTGGATCCAGCCGATTGAGCAACTCGCGTGTCTTGACAGAGAGCACCATGCGATTCCTCTTTAGTGGGCGTGTGCAGTTTGCTGCAACTCTGGGATGCACCGCTTGTATAGGCTTTAGGTAAAGTCCTGCAGTGCGAGTCCTTCAGAGCGTGCTGGCAAGAAACCGCAAACATGTTACGGCCGCCAACACCAGTGTGTTTCAGCCGTTTGGCCGGCTGAGGCGACGTGCTCAGCTTCAATTGCCGGGCTGCCAGCCCTTCTGGATGAGCATCCAGGCGGGGGGTCCTTGTGCCGCAGGGGAAGGGCCGAAAAGCACGCGGCCTAGTGAAGCGGCTGCAGAGGACTTCTGCCAGCACTTCACAGACATTGCTCAGGTCCGGGGGCCCAGAAAGGGAACCGCCAGATCACGTCACTTCTCGGTTTCACGGCTCAGGCTCGGCTGGTCCCGGGCTCCTGGCAGGGGGCCATGGCCTGGCTCTCGGCTGTGGCCCGTCTCTTGCGCAAAGGGTGGCGGCCCTGGGGTTTTGTCGGCCAAGGTCGCCATGTCCGAGGAAAGGCCTAGCTACCCCCTCGTCTCGGTTTCTTCGCCAACCCAGGCCTTCCCCGCAACTGGGCGAGCTTCAAGCTCCAATGCACCGGATCGCATTGCATGTTCTTTTTTAAAGACATCTTGAGACCATTGACTGCGAAGGCGGTCTTCCTTCTCTCGCAAGCAGACCCTCCTCGTGGTTCGCAAAAGCCCGGGCACCGCACGGCAAAGCAATGCCAAGAGTAGCCTTTTTTGTGAAACACCAGGAGAGCGGTCCCGCTCGGTCTGCGGGTGTACCGGTGTCGAATCGTGGCACCGCCGCAGCATGCCACAGGCGCAACGGTTGGGAGTGGCGATGCAAGTCCCACAACTACGATGAAAGCGCGAGGAGTGAAGCAGAATGTGTCCAATCCCTTCAAGCCTCTCGAGTTGGTTGCTGAGATGCCAATCTCCCAGGCCTCGGATCCGTCTCTCATGCGGCTTGCTGTCTCTCTCTCCCTCTCTGTCTTTCCCTCGTTGTCCTTTCTTCTCGCTCTCTGGCTCTCAACCTCCGGACTAAGTTCGAAGTCCTTCCAGGCAGAGCCTCAGCACTAGTAAGAGATCTCGGTGGGAGTTTTCCGGTGCCTTCTGCCAGTCCGGGCGGTCAGTGATGGTGGAGGTTCCGAAGCTTGAGCCGCCGCCTGGCTGGACTTGACGATCGCTCTTTGCACTGTGTTGCAGCATCTGGAGAGGAACTGCCTCTACGTGGCGTCGATCATCTACTCGTCGCTGGCCTGAAAGTTCGTCCCTTCGCTTTGCGGCTTTTCCCAGCCGCGAGGCCGAATGCGCCTCCGGACTTGGCCATCCTGCGAGTGTTGACGGCCTCCTCCATGCGCTTCCGAGAGCTCTCCGTGCCAGAGTCAGCGTGCGCCATTTCAGGGAGAACAGCAGATCATAGCAGATCTAAACGTCTACATGGAATGATGAATGTGATGTTACAACTTCGGTTCTGCTTTTCCTCCCTCTTTTGTGAGGTACTTTCTTCAGGCCGAGGAGCAGGTCGGAGGTCGTCCCCTGCAGTGGGCCCAGAGGCTTCCACGCGGCGTCCGCGTCCATGAGGGTACTTCTGCAAAGGAGAAGGGGGCAACTCTAGAAATGGCATGAAGTGTCTCAAGTAGAACAGTAAGACAGTGGCTTGTTGCAAGCATGTCTTGGCCACCAATCGTCACTAAAGGCAGCATGTGCAGCTTTGTCAATGGTACGACATGTCACGATGTGTTCTCGAGGTATGCGATTGACACCGACAGCTTCTCGTCTCAGGCACGGATTTTGCATTTGCCTGCCTTGGCCAAATCGGGAACGCTATCGACGAGGGTTGCGCATCCTACAGTGAGAGGGCAGCCGCCATGCTGTCGCAGCTAGGGGTGCCATCTCACTCGAATCCGCTTCTGATGGGCCAGGGATCTCTAGAAGCCGCACAGCTTCCGATTCCTGTCCGGGGCTTGCGGCATTGCATGGCAGTGGTGTGCACTGGACGTTGCCTGGGGATCGAAGGCCAGACATGATCCGATGCGGGACTCAGCGTCTCGTGGAGTAGACGGCCGCAGCCCCAGATGTTCGTGATTCACACCTTCTACGTGCTGCACCTGATCATCCCGGTTCGCTTGTTCGTGCAGGAGCTGCATCGGAGAGTTGGCAGACCTCAGCTGCATCAGCGGCGTCCGACACGTGGCAAGGCCGGGTTGTGGTGGGCAGCGTCTGAAGTCACTGGAGCGGCCATCTTCCCGTACGTCCACCGTCAGAAGTGGACCTCGGCTTTGGCGAATTCAAGCTGCCTCCCTTCCTTCAGGCCACTCTTGTAGCTCGTGGTAAGTTTCGCAAGCTTCGTCGCTTGTCTCTTTGGACTGCCAGGAGATACTAAATCAATGCTCTGGTGTCGACTGCTGATCTGTGTAAGGGCCGAAGCCAGAACAGTGTCGTCAGCCCTCGCCCGTCAGCCACGGCATTGAGCCCGAGCCACATATGCCAATTCGCGTTGTACAGCATCGACCCGCCAGATCTCGAGCTGGAGCCAGCCACAAAGCCAATGCAATGGCGGGAGCACACAAGGTCCAGGTCTTGATTGCTTGGCTCATGTCTGATGCCGCAGTGCCAGCATCCATGGATTCCCTCAGTAGCATGATCCATGCTTTCGGCAGCACTCTTGATCCCCAGCCTGGTGCCACCACTGGTTGCAGATCTCGCATAACCTCCTTAGTCCCGCAAGAACTGCAAGAGTTGACGGTAGCATCAGTTGAAAGTTGGCGTGCTTCCTGTGTGCCAGCTTCTGAGTTGGTGTGCTACCTGCTGTGCTTGCGCTTCAAACATAGGCTGTGGACCTGCTGCGACTTAGGTTTCGCATGGGTGTGCTGCTTTCGCTGTAGGGTCTGGGGCCTCGAGATGATGCCTCGAGATGATGCCAGACTCTGGCCACATGTCTGTGCCTGGATAACCATGTCGATGGAGGTTGCCATGGGCAATAACCTGGCTCGCGTGGTCTTCCAGCCTCCTCAAGCTTCGTGCCTGGCCAAAGAAAGTTGGGCCTTTCGGGACTCGGCCGTGAGGGCTTGCTTAGCTGTGTGCACAGACTTGTGCAGACCTTTCCACTGTCAAAGTTCTTGCAGGTATGGCAAAGATCCAAACCTCTTTTGGCTGACGACTTCCAGAGAGGAGGTTGGGTTCGAGTTCCTCGATGTTGTCCAGTCGCTGTTGGTGAAGTTGGTGATGGGCGGGCCAGGTCATTCCCGCCTTCTACGTCCGGCGGCAGGATGCCAGGCAGCTGCCCTGAGAAAACTCCTCCAAGCTCCGGTGCTTGTCCCACGTGTCTCGCTCTCGCTCAGTTTCACCTTGCTCTTCAGCCACGGCAATGCCGAAGACTTGGGGCTGATTATCCGGTGCCGCGGGAATCAGAAGAGGAAAGACAGCAGCGGAGCAATGCCAATGAACATCCCCCCCCCCCCCCGGCAGGTACTTTCGAGAGCTGAGTCACATCTTGCATGTCAACGTTTTTTCCTACGAGAATCCCAGCTGCAAGACTGTGCACGTGCACATCAGGCTGGCCCGTGCGAGTTTCGAAGAACAGCTGAGATGAGGTATACAGGGTATGGCATGAGCACTGGCCAGCCACAGGACCTTGAATTGTGTATAATTTGTGTCATCGACGGGCTTGCTCTGCCCTGCGGCACCCGGTGGAAGTTTGTACTCACGAGCCACAAGCATGTTTGGCGCGCTGTTGGCACCGAGCTGTGCTGGTGCCGGAGCTGATTTCATGCAGGAGGCGGCGGTGTACGCGGATATCGAAGCTGCCTTCAAGCAGCTTCGGCGGCATCTACTAGAACGCAGAGTGCAAGACGGGAGAAGACAGGGAGCGACTGTGGCTCAAGTCTCGCTTCGCTTCGGTTCCCGGATTTTGGGCTTCAAGTGCAAAGAGCGCCAGGGAGTTTCGAAGGCTGCCTCTGAAGTGCAAGGTTGTTACAGTCTTGTCTGAACTCAGGTAACCTCCTTGTATTGTCGGTTTGACTGTGGCGTGACATAGCGAAGACGCTGTGTCCAAGCTACCTGATCAAGTGTTGCAGCAAAGCTACAAAATCTGAGTGCTCTTCGTATCCTCCCACACCTGTCAGCTTTTGCTACAAGCTGGCTGCCATTTCATGGGTTGATCTGCTAGCCTTCGCGAGGAGGCCCCTCAAGCCTGTTCTTGTAGAGAGGCTGCTCGGGTGTTGGGCCACCTGAACGTGGATCCGTACTTCAGATATTTGCAGGAGACGAGGTCTTCGAGAGGAAGAGCTAGAGGAGAGAGAGAAGGGGCCGACCCCTGCCTGAAAAGCTCAGGTACTTGAGGGATGAGCTTCGCGGCGTGCTGAGATTTGTTCAACCCCGATTTTCGTGGCCACGCCATGGGCTCTGCTGGCGCCCTGAGGCATTCCTTGGACCCAGATTGTGCCGTACGGCCGATCGATTGGGACAGCGCCTTCCATCCATTTGGCCACGCAGACCCCGGTGCGTGGCGTGGTTCAGGGTCTCAGAGGTGTGCAGCATCCCAGCTTGCCTAAGCCGCTAAGTGCAACCTAGATACTGCAGAGCCCAATGGTGTCAATCTACAGAATACCGCCCGGTCCTTACGGTGTCGGCCGATTGACAAGACGACATGCAACATGCAGAATCCAAAGCACTCCGAGATCTTTCTACGGAAGCGTTGTAGCCGGTCTCCAGCGCTGAGATTCCGCTTGCGCTTCACGCTTCCCGGAGACGTCTTCACCAACATTGACAAAATCGGCCACTTGACTGCAACTTCAGCAGCATTTCAGCGGCCTTGCACTGTCCCCTATATTCCGATGCGGCCCAGGCAATGTGTGCTCTCCGGTGCGACTGGTCTGCAAGAAATTTCCTGCTGAGCCATGCCCGAAATGCGAACATCATCTCCAGTCAGGTTCATCATCCACGGCACAAGGGATGAGATAGTTCCTGTTTGGCATGGTCAGGCAAGGCCTGTCTGCAGCTGGGAGAGTAGTAGCAAAGCTGTTTTCCTGTTCTGAGGCCCTGTACCACACGTGCGTGAAAAAGGGCATTGCTTACGATGCCTTTGTCATCGAGGCGACGTGCCGCATCCGGAGTTCGCTTCGGTCTCGGCAGCCTGGCATGTAAAATCCTCGATGCCAGGGTGCAGACCACAACAATCTGGAGATGCAGGCAGCACTTGCAACGACTCTGATACCACTTGCTTTAAGATATTTCCAGTCCTGTGTCGGAAAAGTCGACAGTAACAGTTATTTTCGCACGTTTCTCGGAGATGCCTCTCTCGCAGGCTGGCGATGCTTTCTACGATAGGCTTTCGCCCCGCTGGCGGGCTTAAGCTGCTGCTGAGACACAACACCAGTGGAACAGTTCCACTGCTCTTGTTTTTTGCTTGTTCAAGATGATTGAAAGCTCTGCGCTCCAGCCTGCCAGGCGCTTTCTAGAGCATTTGAAGCGCACGCCGATCTCCGAAAAGTTGCAGCGGCAGGTGCGCTCTGCTGTAGCAACTTGCGAGGTCGTGAGTTCATACTGGGCTCCGGTTCCGCTGTCCTCACCTTTTCGGGGTTGCATTCAGCGGTGACACTTGGACGGAGATGAAACGAGCGCTCCACAATAGGGGGACTGGTGTCTGATTGGTTTTATCACTGGCTTTGATTCTTTTCCATGGTTGTTGTGGTGCAAGGCATCGCTCGAGGATCATGACGGCCGACCAAGACGGTCGAGTAGAAGAGCCGCGAGACAGTTTGGTAGTCCCTGTATGTCGGCTGATTTGTTGTATGTCGGGCTGTACGTGCAACTCGGTCGTGCCGGGATAGAAGGTGTTGGCATGACATCCGGTCGTTTTCTGGCACGTGCCTATATCTTGTGATCTTGATAACTGCTTGGGGTCTCACCCTTGCTACCCTGGGGGGTTCGGTTCGCGAGGCCACGCTCGGCGTGTGTCTGAACGTTCTGTCTGTTGGTAGAAGGAGTCGCGCATTTCGGGCAAACCGGGGTTACTGCAGCCAATGTGATCCGGGACACCACCTGGTCACCTCCAGAGCTTGGTGCTGCAAAAAAATGCTGACAGGTGGACCAAGCCAGAATTTGAGCAAAGGTGTCGCTCGGCAGCGTACTTCAATCCTGCAGCATCTGCTTGCAGCAATTCATACGTGCCTTCCGCCCAGGCCCAACTACTGGCCTTTGGCTTTGCCGGCTCGCCGCACCCGAAAAACTACTGCATCTACTGCCATGGCAGTGTGGCTGGCATTGCAGTTCATGGTTCGGTTCGCGTTCGAGTAGCAGCCCTTATTACTCTGGCGAGAGACTAACCCACGGCCCGAAAGCCATCACATAGAAGTGCCAGTGCAAAGTGGTGGTGCCGCAGGCAGGCTCAAGAGCCATTGCTCAGGCAAAGAGTCCAGGCAGGATAAGACCATCCCACATCTTCGTAGCAGCGTGGCACCTCATGGTCACTTCACGACGGTCATAAGTGAGTGACAGGACTTCTTAATGATGTGATCCCAATGTGGCAAAAGGGCATTGGCCTTTGGATGGTCCTGGGGAGGCAGGCGGCCGATCAATGCCTGCTGCACTTAGGCTCTCTTGAGGAGATCTTGTTTTCCGCAGGCTTGCAGCCGTGGCAGTAGGTTGTTGCCTCAGCATGTGCTTTTATGCTCCAATTTGTCAGTTTGTCTTCTGCATGGGTGCATGCTGACTGGACGAGGAGAGAGACAATGATGACAGGGCCTATTAACTACTACCAGTGGCGTTATCTGTGCTATCAGAATTGACGGCCACAGGGATAGTAGAAGTAGAGGTAGAAGTAGAAGTTCGTAGAAGTAGTAGATTTTGCGAAAGCTAGGATGGAAAAACATAGCACAGACGAGTGTAGCGAGGTGACCAGTGCTGCCTCACGGATGTTGGATGCGGAGAAGAGCGTCGAGGTCGCGGCATGGTCTTCTCAGCATGGTCTGCGCTTTGCTGAGCAAGGGTTTTCCTGTGGAGGAACTGCACGCTAGCAGCGGCAGTCGAGACGCCTCCGCCTCCTGCGATTGGCCCGAGCGGGCCCAGGATGTGAAAGTCGCGAAAGGCTGGATGGTCTGACAGGGTGCGTCTGGAATGTTGGGGGCAGTTTTGACAGACTTCGTGCTATGCCGGAGGCTCAGAGATAGACTTTGGCACTGCGGAGATCATCGGTGAGGTCGGAAAGACGTGCGCAGGAATTTTCGGGTATATTGGGGTTTCGGTGTCGTCGTGTGGCAGCTCGAGGTCTTGGCCGAGCAGTCCTCTTGGCTGCAAAGCGAGCGGCTGCGGCCCCCGTTGCTTGACTTTGCATGAGCACGAAAAACTTTGGCGACAAAGCGAATTATGGAATCCGCTTTCTCAGGGATCCCCGGAGAGCAAAGCAACCACGGCGCGGACCACAGTCTCGGGTATCTCGGGTCTGGGGACAGCTGTCAAGAGGCAAGCATCATGGCACGAGCAGCGGAAGGGCCAAGTGTCCCGCGCCAAGGGTCGGATTCCCAGGCTGTGGTCCCTGTGAAATCTTTCACCATGCATATGGCAGGATCCAACAAGTCTTCGGTAAACATCTGCGAGCGCATCGCCGTGTGAGCCTGGCTGCGGTTGCAGAGCATTTCAGCCTCACGAAGTCGCCCTCGGCATTGCTTGGCAAGTGCTTGGCAGGTTTGTCGTGGTCTTCCTGTTTCTGTTGCTTTGCTCTGCCTGGCTGCGATTGCCAGACACACGGTCTGCCTGTCTTGACATGTGTGAAAAAAAGTTGTTGCACTCGTGCGCGCCCTTAGCTACCTTATATCCCGATGATGCAAAAGATGTGCTGTAGCGGCTTGGCGGCTGGTAAAGATGGCAAGTCCGAAAGCTCCTGGAGCCTTGGAGTGCCTCCGAAGTGCCGAGGCAGTCGTCAGACCTGTTGCAGGAATTTGCAGACTGGGTTTGGCCCTAAGAGTCGACTTGCAAGAGAAAGAGAGAGAAAGAGCCGCTGCCCGCCCGAGGCGCAAGACGGCCAGGCTTCGGAGGCCCGGCTAGCTAGGCATTGCTCTGATGGGAGGAGGATCCTGTGGAGCCGTTTATTGCAGGAGGACGTTTGTCAAGACGATGAATGAGAACCTCACAAGGCCAGTGGAAGGCTGCCGAAGATGTGACTGGCCCTGGCGAGATGTGAGATGGGGCAGGTCAGAATTCCTGACGGGCACGCAGCTTGTGAGCGTCAATCGAGGAAGTTTGCTAGGGAAAGTGCCAGTTAGATGCCCAAAAGTGGCAGACAGGTTCCGCCAACGCGATCAATGAGTAACCATGCTCTGAGTGTCCTGGACATGGGCTCAAAACCAAAATGTCGTTGCCATCCCGGGGAATGTAGCAGCATTCACGTTCAGACTTGAGTTTGCAAATTGGACCTGGAGAGATGCGACTTGAGTTTGCAAGCTGGACCTTGAGAGATGCGACTCGAGTTTGCAGGCTCCGACCCTGACAGGTATTGCCTATGCATGCCATGGATCCTTGTCAGGAGATGGCTGCAAGATGCTGCAAGAACCCAGCTGGATGAGACTCAGGCGGAAGAGCCAGCAGCAACACAGCTGGACCACTCCTCTTCATCCGAAAACCTGGAGCCTTTCAGCGAAGCATCGCAGAGCTCCGCTAGGGATGCAGTCGTGTCCGATGCTAGGGAAACATTGGAGACCGACTGTGCTAGAAAAGCTCCTGAAGCATCTGAAGCTGCAGCAGTTAGACTGAGCTCACCAGTGCGGCGGTACAGTTTCCTGGAACCGTGTAACAGACTACTCCTGCAAGGGCTGTGAGACAGAAGGCTTCTGCACCGACACCAGTTTCTCCAGCTACGACGGTGCCAGCGGAGATGCTAGAAGATCTGAGGACACCCATGCGGAAGCAGCCAGCAGCACAGCTGGAGGATTCTTCATCGTGTGCCAGCACATGACGTCGTATTCGAGCCGGCGGCTATCTACCAGAAGGAGATGCCATCGCAAGATCCGTACGACGGTTCCGCTGTGGAGCCTTTGCAGAATCGACTGCCGGCATCACCTGTGTCCGTGGATCGAGATGCGGACCCCAGACTGCCAGTAGAGGAGCGAGGCCAACGTGTTGGCTATCCCATCGGGATGCTCATCGAGAAGACACGTGCAGACATCTTCATCATGTACTCTGTCGCACTACACGAGTTGGATGGAGATGGAGAAAAACAACGTGCTGCCACCCTGACGAACCACGGCGTGTGTCCCATCGTGGAGCAGGTGGTGACTGAATGGAAGCAAAAGTTTGACGAGGCTCGCAGGAAGAACTCCGAACGAAAGCTTTCAGTGTGCAGCTTTCTGCATCGGCAAGATTTTCCAAGTCCTAAGCAGACCGAATGCATGACCTTGCAAATGCCCCCATCTGCTCGGCAACCTTGGAACACACCGATGGCTTCTCCAGCCCTCTAATCTCAGGATCTGGCGCAACGTGCAGGTCTTTAGGTGGGCTAGAGCTCGATCAGCATGTTGGCTGCATTTCGGTGGTGCTTCTCTCGACCCACGGATTTGTCGGGATCGCTGGCGAGATCCAGACGCGTCACCAGCCGAAAACAGTCATGTGAGCATGGGCGAAGTACTGGATGGCTTCGCCCACGCTCACATGACTGCTTTCGAGCGGGCGATGCATCTGGATGTCGCCAGCGATCCCGACAAATCCATGGGCCATGAGAAGTACCACCGAGACGCAGCCAACATGCTGATCGAGCTCTTGCAGTGGGCTAGTGTGAAGACCATCGCACAGCTTTCCGCCGGACGCACGGCCCTGCGAAACAAGATCCGTGACCGGTCGTGCTCGGCAAAGAAGAATTCAACAGTTTTTTGGTTCTTTAAAAGACCTGCACGTTGCCAAATCCTGTGATCAAGCCTTATGTTTACGAATAGGTACGCTCCTCCGTTACCTGTGCACTGTACAGCAAGCGCTTGGAGACAAGCAGTGGTCAGCTTACTTACTGCTCGGTGCTCAACTTGCATGCTCATTGCTCACTGCATGAGTCGTGTAGGGCTTCCTGCTTGAAGAATGTTTCGAATACTGCGACAACTGCTTGCTGAGACGATTGGCCTTGTGCATTGCTTCGAGCCGATCTTCCTGCCACACTTTTTTCTCTCAGACAGCACGTGTACAGTACACACGAACCGTTAGTCTCCCCGGCAATCTCATGCTTTGCGTTCCGGACCGTGCTCATCGGCAGATGAAGGAGAAGCTGGCAAGGAGGAGACGGCGAACGGGGCTGAAGAGTGCTGATGGCACGCTGACCGAGACAAGACCCCCTGCCCCTGCCGCCGCTTCCTCGCCTAAACCGGCGGAGCCTTTGTCAAGCGACAGGAAGGAGCTTGCTTCACTTGGTCCACTTGGTGCACTTGCCGACTTCAAGCCGAATCCTGAAGAGGGCTGCCCGTGCTCTGCGCCGAGTCCGGCAGAGGCGGGAGGGAGACCCTGACTTCTCGTGCGGCTGAGTTCGGCTGCTGTGAGACCGAGAGGCTGACAGTTACGACATCTTCACCATGACTCCGCAGTTCGACATTTACACTCCCCGTGCCGAGCCTGTTGGCGACCGCTGCCGCTTGGGCAACATATTGCATGAGAATGGTCGGAATGAACGGATAAAGTAAACACAGGTGACGATACAACAGCCAATCGCTCGCTTCGATCCAAGCGCAGGCGGGTTCCCGTGTTGCTGCTAATACCTTGCAGCAATGCGTGGCAGGTTGGTTGCTGTCTGTGATCCATCTCGTTGAGAGGTCTCCACCAATTGTGAAACGTTGGCAACTGCTTGTCATTGTTGGTTCTCACTTGAAGCTAGGTAATGTCGCGTTGAGAAGCACAAAGACGGAGCCAAATAAAGGAAAGGCACGGTAGTAGCGTTCCGCGGTAGTGTCCTGCTCTTCCCGTTCGATTTCTCGCCAAATCAGCACAAACCAAAGCAACACGAGCATTCCAAACCAGGTCCACAAGCCTTTGCAGCAGATATCGGAAAACCTTTCGATCTAGAGGGGCTCGGCTAGCAGGTGGCTCACTCTGAGAGCTTTGAACTACAGCTTTGCCATACTTTTTCTGCAGGCACCTCAAAGGCCGCAAAGTGAAGCTGCACATCTATGACGTCTCCCGCGATCCGAACATTCAACGAGTCAACTTTGTCTTTGCGAACAAGGATGCGCCAATCAAGCTAGGCCGGGTGTTCGCAAAGTGACCGGCAACCGTGCTCTATGCTGGCAATTTTTTTTGGAAAGGTGGTCTTTTTCATGCCGGAGTTGAAATCAGCAAGCTCGAGTGGGCTTTCGGATCAGGGTGCCTTCACGAGTCGCCGACTGGAGTCCGATGCCACCAGCCGAAGCAGAACTTGCAGCACAGTTATCGGCAGACAGTCGGATGCTTACACAGGAGTTCAGAAAGTGCCACAGAACACAGCCGTGAGCCAATCGAGGTCTACCTGGGCCGTTCCCGGTGCAGCCGTGAAGAAGTAGCCAGAATCCTTGCAGAGATTGCAGAGGAGCTTCGTGTAACCGGTTCAAGTACTCTGTAGAAACCGTGGCATGCAAAGCTTGAAGATGTTGTGCATAAGGTGGTCGCGAAACACAGTCTGCCAGGAGTACAGCGCGGAAAGCTATGATTTGCTGCGCAAGAACTGCTGTCACTTTGCCGATGACCTCTGCCGCCGACTAGGAGCAGCAACCGAACACCCGTAAACGCACCAGAAAAGCCCGGACTGAACCTTCACCCATCAAATGCAACTGCAAGACTCCCAAGACTCGACATGGCAGCGAGACCCCACATGCAAAGGTAGAGAAGCTTCATGCATGTATGTTTGTAAGTGTGTGATTGTGTCTCTGTGTGCGGCAACAAGGCAGACTGCACCGAATGGTCTTGCTGTTGAACATCCTGCATGATTGGCATTGATTGGCCATGGAAGCTGCACAAAACATTACAGCACCCTGGACCCGACTGTGAGTGTTTAGGGACCTAGTTCAGCAGAGTTCTCCTCGTTCGGATCAGCAGCTGGGCATGTCGCTTGGTTTTTGCAGGAGTTCGGAGCCCACCTTTCTGGCTCCTGCGTTTGGCGTGTGTTGGAGTGCCTTGGACCTTGGAGCACCAGTCAGAGGAGCTCGGAGCTGTGTCTGATTCCTTTGCTCCGGGGAGGCGGCTGTGGACGAGATCCTGCCGGAACCCGTTCGAGATCTTCTGCCGTGGTGACGAACAGAATTCGCGATTAGTTGGAGCTGGTCACAGGCGAAAGAAGACCAATAGGCACGTCTTTGTTTATGGTGCTGCCGTTTGCTGCCTCGCCCAGCAGCATGTGCAGGTGCATAGCTAGTGTGACCGATGTGAACCACAACTATGTGACCAGCAGAATTTGCTGCAAGCTTTTGTAGCCATCTTTACTTCCGGAGAGCAGATACAGTGTCGTGTGTCAGCTTTCCTTGGCAAGGATGCCAGTGCACGACTCCAAATGCCGTAGAGTTATGGTGACGGCCTAGGTCCCTCTCAGTCTACATCTGATTCCATGGGTCCTCTCTCTCAAACTTGCCCTCTCTACTGTATTGGTGCCACCTGGACGCTGGAACTGGTGGCTGACCAGTTGGAATTCAGCTATGTGCCAGGAATTGTAGGACTTGCAGCCTCTCGAACCTGCCAGAATTCGTTTCTTGTGTGAAGCTGATGTGGCAAGCGCGAAAGACAGTTTCCTTTGCAGGGAATGTGCGTCTGCAATAGAGTGCTTGCGATCAGATCTGCAATCTACAGTTCTTGTCTTCCGAAGCTTAGCGCACAAGCTTGCGCATGTAGCCTGCACTCTTGACAAGACTAACGCAAGTTGATCATGCGGCTGCTGGGCTTACAATATCTTCGCCATTGTCAGTAGGTATGCAGGGACAGGGCACAACCGCCAACATGACCTGAGGCCCGCGCTGCTATCATCATGCCTGGACATACAAGTGTGGTCAAGTGTGGTCAAGCTGGCCTGAGCCCATGAGTCGGCCTGACAATAATACGATAGTGGCCTCAACAGCTTGATGGATGCTGCATTGCTTCAGCGAGATGTGGCTAGAAGATGAGGCAGATTTGCTATTTCAGCTAGTTCAGCTATTCCGGTTTGCAGACCTCGCTGGGGAGAGAAATTGGGAGGAAGCGCGGGCCAGCCGAGCTTGCAGGCAGGGCCGCAAAGTCTCGGGGATGTCGGAAAGGCGAAGCTTGAAAGCCTTTTCCCAAACGAAAGCCTTGCCAGTACGCTTCGCCTTATGGGTTTAGGTTTGACATTTGTGCTGAGAGAGGCTCGGCAAGTGATGCGCTTGGGAAAGAGAAGCGCCTTCGAGGGCGCATTCTGCGGCCTGGTGCCCAGCGAGCTTCCAGGTCGCGGCGTGTTCATCGCATGCTTTGCATATACCGCTCCTGGGGCTTCCAGAAGGAACACTGGCGTAGTTGGAACGGGGATATGTCACTGTGCGTTCCGGTGCAGGTTGGGGAATGTTGTGCTAAGCGGGGAAGGCCCAGGCAGACTATCCGTCGCTGGAGCTGAGGCCAGACCAAGCCGCTGCCATCAAGCGAAGGAAGCTTGCCATCTATGTGCATGGTCACTACGCTGTAGGCTTTAGATGCACTCGTTGGTTTTTGTGCCAGTTTGGTTGGTTTCTTGCAGGCAGCAACTTGAGAAGAAGGCTGTGCGCAGACGCGTTGCGCTGTGGCGCTCGAGGAAGCTTGCTCCAAATCTTTTTGCGATGTGTACTTCGGATTATGATACTTCTTGAAGGACTGTTGACGGCAAATGGTGCGGCCCACAGTTGGTTTGCGAGAAGTTCATGTAGCGCTTGAGTGTCCTGAGTCCTTGTTGCATTTTGCGTCAAGAACGCATGCTAGATTTGGCGAACACAATCACATTTGTGGGGCGGGTTTTGCTACATTCAAGAGGAGGCGGCACGGACAGATTGCAGCTCACCGCGTTGGCGCTAAAGAAGCTCTCGGTAGGGTATGCATCGGTATAAATCACATATCGACATCTTGTGTTTCATGGAACGGTATGTGCCAGACTCTCAAACTGGAAATCTTGTTGGTGTCAAAATAAGACCAGAGCCAAGCACGGCGGCAGCTTACCAGGGGGCAGACATGATTCATAGAGCATGGGCAAAGCTTCGGTGATGGGCGCTCCAACAAGAGAGACTAACCACACTGCTGGGGTGAAGTGCTGTCTGTCTCAGCTTCTCCTGAATCGAAAGCAACGGACAAAAGTCCACCAACGAGCGGTGGTTTTTGTAGTGTCGCAGCGACGTGCATGTGCGTCGTTGACTGTTGAGACCAGCTCTTGTCACATCTTGCAGCCGACATTATTCGGGCTGGCGCAGGACTCGAGTGCACATCCACAATATGCCTTTACCTGAAGCTCTCGGGGAACTCTTGATGATCAGCAGCTTTATTCACGAAGAGATTTAAGAGAGTAGGGTACTCTTGGGGTGAATGTAAGACACCTTTGTGCCAGAGCCGCACTAGTGTGTGGCGAAGTTCAACGCTACTTGCTCTCGCTCAGCATCTTTAGGATCATGCAGTGCGCTTACAACCTCTCTCACGAATCACTCTAGGATGCACCAAGAGCAGCAATTACCACTGTCAGTTGCATGGCAATGACTTCGGGCGCACCAGAATCAGGATTCACCACGGTCCATTCTGAGCATGCTTTAGGCAGACAGTCTACATCACGTTGGCTGGTGATGTTCTGAAGAAGGGTGCAAGGTCACGGAGCCACCATGTGTCGGCAAGCCTGACGTGCAATTGTGGCAGGGCGTATAGAGCTGCTGCGGCAGATCAGCAATACTTGAAGGTGCTGCTTCGGCTCTTCTACTATTTGGACTACCTGTAGCTATGCTCTGATGGCAGGCCTGCGGAATTGCCAGCAATCAACCTGCCTACTCGGAAATAGAGGTGCCAGAGGAGCCTGCACCAGTGCAACTTTCCCTTTTTCTTCTTGATAGCTTTTCGGTCTTTCGACTTTCTTTTCAAGGAGATCCATCCGTATGCCCTCTGCAGAGGGCAAAACCCTTTGGATGCCGAGCGAAATTTGAGTTGCACAGTTAAGGCATGCTGCAAGCAGACCCTTCGCTGCGACCTTTGACAAAGCTGACGCTCAGGAGCTCGGCTACTGGTGCATCCCACAGTCGGTGCAGGCCTGTCGGCAGCACTTCAGGACGTACTCGCAGCTGAGTCTCGAAGACCTACCGACCGCAGTGCTTGACAAGCAAGGCTTGCCTTCGTGCAGCGGGCATTCAGCACCTACACAAGTGGCAAGCCGAATGCCTGAGCTGCCCACAGGCAGCAGGGATGACATGTGTTGTAACGTGCAGATTCGTGGTTCTGAGCTACACCGCTGTCCTACCTCGGCTCTGTGCCTGTGCACCGCCAGGTCCAAGTGCAGAGCACTGGGCCAATGCAAACCTTCCATAATGCCTAAGGCGTGCAGCATATCCGGCCAAAAGGGTTGATTCTTTGGGCAAACGCTGACAACTTCTGACAACCCATACTTGAGTTCACGGAGCATTTGAGCCATGTCATTCTGCCGATCACCAGCCGCCCCGACGCCCCTGGCCGCATTTGCAAGATCATTGGGGGCACAGGACGATGCTGACACCAGGACTCCCATGCACTTCCCGATGTACACGGTGCCGTTGCATTCAGTTTTGCAGATGGTGGAAGTTGAGCCGCACGAAGAGCTGAAGGCGAAAGGCCTGGTTATCGAGTTTGACAAGAACCTGGGCAATGCGGCCTTCGTGTCGCACCAATGGCTCGGGCGTGACGCTAGACTTCGCAAAACGCAAGGCATGTTACCTAGATATGGTGCTAGTAGTGCTCCACACGATTCTTGAGGGTTTGCCATGCGGCAGTATATAGTCGATGTCGGGGATCGGAGGTTAACATGATAGGCAAGACGAGGTTTAGAAACTGCAAGGAGGGGTTATCAGCTTCGGGTGACAACGGTGCACGGCTTTCCCCTTCGATGAGGAATTTGACGGAGGTTGTGGGATTTCTGCCCAGACGGAGGCGAACGCCTGGGCCGGGAAGATTTCAGAAGTCTCAATCCCCCAAGCTGAGTCTGCGAGCTTGGCCCCACCTCTTTACAACGAGGTTCGCCGCAGGTGAATTCAAAGTCGGCCGGAGGGAAGCAAGTGTTTAGGTTGGAGAGGAAAGTAGGGACGGCTGGCAAACGATTTCTTTCATTTCCAACAAACTGTTCGAAGCTCAACTACGTCTTTCAGGCTTGCTTCTTGTGCTTTGGGTGCACAGGTCGGGGCATCTGGATCTTTGACTGCCCCGCTCAGGATAATCCAGATCCGCAGTTCGAGCAGTTTCGGGTTCTCCAGCAAGCGCTGCGCCATGTGACTGGTGTGGTTCAGACGGAGCTTAAGATTGGGGTTTAGGGAGCCCAGAGCACAGTTTCCACTGCACCTTGCGGTGAGCCTCACTGGTTGTTACTTTTCGATTGTGAAGATTGCTGCTCGCTTTTCCCCCGCAAGCCTGACAATCTAGCAGTCAGGTGATGAACAATCTGGACTTGGTGCCGCTGGATGCATATACCGAGGCGATTGTGCCACAGGCCAAGCCATTGCATACATCAGTGCTTCGAGCAAAGCTCCTCTGGATTTGGTATGACTATTTCTCCTGCCCGCAGCTGGAGCCCGCGCTAAGCCAAGGCTCAAAATTCGGTCGAAACTCTTGCAAGTCCTCGAATCTCCAGTAGAGTCTTCTTATACAGGCCCACGAACCCTTTTTGACCATCTTCGGGTTGTGTTGAGTGGGTACCCTTTCAAGGTGACGTTGTTTTGTTTGTTTCTGGAAGGTAAACACAGTTGCAGCTTGCTACAAGCTATTGACAGCATCCCTGCCTACGTGGCCGAGTGCTCCTTCTTCTTCGCTCTCTGCCCGATTATCGAAACACAAGACGGGTCCAAGTTGCGAACTGCATCCTCCTGGAGCCAGCGTCTCTTTGCTGTATCAAAGGATCAAAGCTTCAGGGGCTCCCGTGACCTAGACGTTTCAACCGGTCAAGGATTTCAAGCAACGCTGCCCTGTGACAGTCGCCCTGTGACAGTCTAACAGTCTAAATGAGAAGCAACTAATGTGGACGAAGTGGCTCATGATAGCAAGTATGGCAGCTTGAAAGTATCGACAAGGGAGCACAGGCGCAATCGTCGGCTTCGTCAGCATGCGCTAAGCATGGAAGAGTTGTGTGCTGAAACGTGGCTGTCTCGCTGACAGTGGCATGGGGAGCTGTGATGCCATGTCTCCCAAACGCGCCGCAAGAGCCCTTGAACATAACCAGCCCTGCATCCTGGGAGCTGTCTTAGCATCTTCATCTTGTTGCTACTCTTGTTGCTTCTGCTATCCTCACGTACGATGATAGCTACCGGCCTACCATCAGAAAGAATTGCAACACGCAGAGGTGGCTGGTGCCGTCTTGAAAGAGTTTGCCGCGAGCTTTGCCAGGACTCATCTTGGATCATGGTGAAAGGCCCGCCATCTGAAACAGGCTTGCCCTTCGGTGTGGCCGTTCTGGGTGTGGAGGGAACCGACTACAGACTACAGTATCTACGGTGAGCTGTTGGGGGTTGGTAATGAATCTGACGCTGGTGGGAGCTCATGGCAGAAGTCATGTCCTCAACTCAAAACTTCGAGGATCTCGTTGACACAGAGAGAAGCCCGGTCCAAGGCCGAAGGACAAAGCGAACCCGGCCTTGGCCTCAAGCCCGGCCCTAGATCTCCACAACCAGCCCACAGCAGCGACACAGATCCAAATCACAAAGAGCAGCACAAGTAGGAGACCAGCAGCCACTGCCATGATCTGCAGTTCCCACAGAACTGCACAATCTTTGTGAGATCGAAGGACCCACGCAAATGGAGTTGATCGTCTCTTCGCCCGCCATCAACGGCGGAGCCATCGGGGAAGGTACCTAACACGTATTCGCGAGTTGGTGGTTTAAGATCTTATTGTTGCATGTCTGCAGTCTGCCCGGTTTGAGGCTCGTGGTTGGCTGGGTTCGAAGGTTTTGGAGGTTTGTATACGAGCGACATCATACTGGGCCGTACATACTCATACTGAGTGGAACATCTACATGCATGATCGTCGTCGTCGTCGCCGTCGCCGTCGCCGTCTTGGTTGGTTCTTGTTGTTGTTGTTGTGGTGGTGGTGGTGGTGGTGGTGGTGGTGGTCGTCGTCGTCGTCGTCGTCGTTCCCATACGGTCTTGCTTTCGCATTTTTGACGGTTCAGGTTTAGAAGGGTTTCGTATCTAGGATCTAGGATGACAGCAGGTGTGTGCATTGTGTTTCATTGTTGGAGTGACGTGCTGAAGGTTTCCGTCGTCAAAGCACTGTGTGGTTTCACATGCAGTTGCCTGGAAGACTCCCATTACATGTTGAGTCATAATTACAGCGTTTTGCCGGAATGACAGCCATGGATGCGAGAAGCTTCCAGCACTCGATAGGGCTCCAGAACACTAGCCGGTGTGAAGGTTGGGGATCCTTGCCTGGGGTTGTGCAGAGCGAAACTGTTGAGAAAGTTTACCCCTCCAGGTGAGTTCACCGTGCAAGACGACCGTCGAAAGCTCGCGCCCGTCCTGGTGGGTGCGCTGAAGCAGAAGCTCCTTTCATTGCTCAGGTGCCAGGATGTCGTCGGCTACAGGATCTTACTGAATCAGCAGACGCTAGGACGTAGTAGAAGCTGAAGACGCTAGTTTCGTATTCTTCTTGGTAGATACCCCTCTTGAGCAGGGCAGGAATCCAGCAAGAAGAAGGAAACACAGCACTCAGGGCCTAGATCATGGCGGACAGCTCTCTGCTCAGCTAAGGAAGTCGTACCTCAGAGGCTTGGAGGTGCAGGAACTCGATGAGCTGGTGCCCGGCTTCCAGAACAACGATGACCACTGCTCCGTCGCGACCTTCTTCCATCAGAGCCATGATGTAATCATCATGTGTCTTTGATTTGTAGTTTGGGTGTGCGTGTACGTGTAGAAAAATATGTGTGCCCCTCAGTCTCGGGACCTGTTGTCCTCACGGCGTTGTCGCTCAAGGATCCCCGTCCTGAGGGCATATTCGGTTGGAGTGCTCAGGGATGTTGAAGCTTTCGGGCCCAGAAGCCAAAGGGCGGTCACTGCCACCGCATTTGCCTGTAATCCTCTGCTCCGTGACATGCTCCGTTTCATGCATCGTTTTCATTACTGTGCACTTCCTTTTCGAAGCATGTGGTGATGCCAAAGAGATCCAGGAACGGATTCAGACATGTCCGCGAGACTGACGGGGGCGGCTGGTCCCCTCTGCATTATGCAGCCATGAGTGGGGATCCGGCTCTGCTTCGAGGGCTGTTGGAGCTTCGGGCCAACCCCACCCGGACGACAAGAAAGGATCAGCCCCTCTTGGGAGCACCGGCCTACACTTCGCTGCTGGCCATTTCTCTGTTCCATCGGCACGTGGAGGCCTCGAAAGTGCTGATCGAAGCTCGGGCTGCTCTTGCAGATGGCTTTATCAGCACACCCCTGGTCGCTGCAGCAGCCGCCAACAATCCCGAAGGCGTCCGCCTTCTTTGTGAAGCTGGATGTCCTTTGCAGCATCGCAACCTTGTCGGCCATACTGCCTTTGAGCAAGCTTGCTGCTACAACAAGCTGGAGGCAGTGGAGGAGTTGTTGGCTCAGGCAGCACGGGCGGGCCAGCCCTTGAATGCAGCCGCTGCCACTCGTGGCTTGCAGCTTGCGATGGCAGATCGTGGAGGCAGTGTCGCGCTGGTTCAGAGACTCGTCGAACTACGAGCCGATGTAAACGATCTGAGCTTCGGTTTCTCGGACCGTTTTGTCCTTCTCGCACGGCTTCTAAACTTGTTTTGTAAACCACATATCAAGAGAAGAAGAACGTCAGTGAGTGTGGCAACAATGATCGGGTAAGCATAGCTCCGCAAGCAATATAGGAACATAGGGAAGGAAGAGTGGAGGAGGATGCAGGCGGAGGAGAGCGCGACGATCTGCAGGAGTTCTCGTTCTTGGGCGTCGAAACATTTGCAGCAAAAAGCCGAAAATCACACGGTCGTTTTGGCTATGACTATGAATGGTACTAGTACAGCAGCAGTCAGTGAGTTTTGTTTGTCCAGAACATTTGCGCAGATTTCGTCCCTGCTGACTCTAGTGGTTTCTGCGCTGCGACGTTGCACTATCCACGGCAACAGTTAGCCAAGGCTGGTGGAAGGACTCTGTCATCTTGGGGATATTCGGCACAGTGAAGACTTTGCAATACAGGCTTGGAAGAGTCACGGCTCTGTCACTTGACTCCGTTAGATTTCGTTAACTTCGATGCGAAGATTTCAGTTCTCAGATGCTAAATCGCATGAGGCTAGCATTGACGCAGTTATCCTGGACTTCTAAGACGTGTCTCGTGTTCATAAGCTGAGTAGTGATAGGCTTTGGTATGTCATGTATTGGTGTCACTGCAGCTGAAGATCGCTCAAGACGGCTTTCAGCTGACGAGCCCCCGAATGTCAATCTTAGGTCAACTTTGGCATATCACGGCCCTGGTGCCACTCCGTTGATCTTGGCCATGCTGACCTGCCAGTACGAAGGTGCTGCAGCACTCGTTGCTTCAGGACTGGGGTGGACTGGGATTGAGGTCTGTGTGTCTGCCTGCGTCGCGCCAACGGCATTCTGTCTTGCATACACGGCCTGCCTACGGCCACCAGGAGCACGGCTTGACCTGCGCAACGCGAGGGGATTGGGGGCCGCAGACTTCGCCAACAGGGACCTGCCTGAGTTCTTGCGCGAAGCTTGGCTTGCAACGGCTCAAGCCCGAGGCCCGCCCAAGGCCTCGACTTGTAGGGCACGGTTGAGAAGCGGGCTTCATTAATGCTTTGCGGAACCAACGACCCAAAGGGCTCTTGGAATTGGTGTAGGAATTTGGGCCTCTCGATACAGCGCTATCATTGAACCCCTTTAATCCTAGAACTTGCAGAAGGTGCATGGAAAGTAAGTTGTGACATTAGTAAGATTGGAAGGCACGCCGTTTTTGTTGCGCATCTTCTTACCAATCGTGGTGTGTTTCCTCGCAAACAGAAGTGCGCTGCCAGCCCTTGAAGATCAAGAAAGATGGACATTGCTTTTCTTGATGGTTCGTCTTTAAGCCTCTCAGACTGTGCCGGTATTGATCTATGCACATTTTTTGTCAGTTACCATGGCTGTGTCTATACGGCGAAAGATTATGTTGCTGGGTTGAGCAAGTCCGAGGAGGCGTTTGATGGGATGAGAGGAGGCTGCGAACGTGTAGCTGCTGCCGCCTTCGGTGATACCTTTGTTGCAATGTAATGCCGGGGGCTTGATCTGAGGGTGCCATTTCAGTGGCGAGTGCCCAAAACGACCGCAAGGTAGAACAACCCCCATGTGCAGAAGTGTGTCTGGAGAAGAGCTGTTCAATATCCAGTCGAGATGTTTATGAATGCAAGAACTCGGCGTCCATCGTCTTGTGCAGTACAAGTGCACTAGTCGAGCCGCCCTGAAGCTCTTTCGGTCAAGGCTGGCAGCGCCAAAAGACCCTGCATGTAAATTGCCTGGGCCATTGGGGCATGTCTCACCCGATAATTTTTTTCAATAATACCAGGCCGGGACCCGGGAGGGATTTTACGTGCAACCGCTTCCCGAATCCTTGGCCTTGGTGTCTCCTCTGTCTCTCTGGAACTGTCTCGATGCATCTGGATCGGAGGATAGTAGACCTGCTCCAAAGCAAACAGTCTTGAAGGGGCATTTGAAATCCATTCGCAGTCCAAGGAGCCGTGAAGGCAGCTCCTGGAATGAATCTTCTGTGGTTAGACACCTCGTAGCTGATCATGCCACGTGAGAAAAGGACAAGATGAGGTCGTACGGTGCAGCACAGCATTCTTCGTCCGAAACAAGCACCCGGCATTCGTAAGAACTCAGTGTGGGCGGGAGCCAGTTGGGCTAAATTTTGGCGACAGTCCAAAGTCATCACAGCTTGCAAAGCCTGGAGCTCTGAAGCCCTAATGGGTTCAATGTATTCAGCAACTGTATCGCGAAGTAGCATTGGCAGATTCGTTTGTCCAAGAAATGCCCCGACCCGCGAGCGAGAGAGCAAGAGAGAAGGCTACCCCAAGGCACTGAAACACCACACTTCAGACAGTGTTATCTGGAAGTGTAGCCCAGATCATTCAAGATAGTACCGAGCTTACAGTAACGATGAGCAGAATTCTCCTTATGCATGGTCGTGTCTAAGCAACATAGCCATAGCCCACCATAGCACCAAGCAAGGCTTCCTGGGAGGCTAATAGCACAGTATCCGAGCAATCCTCGTGCCCAAGCGGTATGCAGTCCCTGACAGGCATAGGCAGGTGCTTCCGAGATTTGCTTAGATTTGTTTCAGCACTTACTATACTATGCCTATGCTTTTCGAGCGGAACTAGCGACAGATTGTGGACTCGCTTTCAGATCAAGACTCAAAACTAAACTTAGGCGCCTAAAGCCGGGACCACACGAACCAGCCAGTCGTCACAAGATGGTCAGGAAACGAACGAAGCTAGTGCAGCATAACGTTTTCGTCAGGTCCTTGTTGCGGGACAATCCCTCGTTTATGCGGGTCTCTGAGACTTGCATTGCATTCTGTGGCTCTGGAAAGTGTCGGCCATTGGTGCTGCTGTAGGTGGCTCCAACCAGTGCGGGCAAATCTTTGGTTTCAGAGGCATCTATGAAAAGGGGATGAGCTCTGCGGCTCCGGTGAATATGCTGCATATGCTGCGCTGGTGCTTCTGAGTCGGAGCCACAGGTGTTAATGCTCCGGCAGCTTCTCTTTCACGGACGGAGGGCGCTCCTCATTCTTCCGTTTGCGGCGACCTTACCAACCTATGTGGAGCGTCTGTGTGTACAGTCTTGACAGCAGGGGTGGTGACTCCAGTTTCAGAGTTTACACACCAAGCGCTTCTGGAGGTCTCCATCTGTGTAGAGAAGGTCTCCAAGCTTCGTCAAGCTTTTGGAGCCTGTGGCAGCAGACTAAGCCCGCAGACTCGTTGACAAGCCCTTCATCCGTGGTGCAAATTGCAGCCACAACAAGGCCTGCGCGTCGAAGGTCTCTACTCAGCTTCGGACGGCAAGTTTCTGCCTGAGATTGTGTAGGGGAGCCGCATTAGGCTCCGCAGTCCTTCCGAGTATGGCGAAGCTCCCATAGCTTCTGCTCTTCTTCGCTCGAGGTGGCATGCCGGTGCTGACGTCGCGGTTTGCACCATTGAGAAAGCCAGTGCCCTGCTGAATCGCCTGCTGGAGGCTGCACCGCAAGCCGTCGCAGCGACGCCGTGACACGGAGACTGTCAATGACTGTCACAGGAAGACGCGCTTCTCCGCGACATCGGCGTCGCTGCTTGGATGCAGTCACGGAGCTTCCATTGGCGCGAGTCTATGTAGGCTCATACACTTCATGCGAAGTCGCGACCGACGGAGACTGTAGATAAATGCAACGTGTAGAGATCACCATTGGCCTCACTTGGTCTGCGCTAGAAGTGGGGTATGCCGCATGCCTGTGTTGGTCCGACTCTTGTGGCGCGTCCAAGATCGTCGTCGACGAAATGCACCTGCTGGGAGAGGCCCGGGCGCGTTTTTGTGCGCTGCTCGGTTCTGACACGAGGGGCAGCTGGCAGCTCTGAAGGAGCACCGGGGTTATCTGTTGGAGCTGATCCTGGTCAAGGCAAGGCTGAGTGCCGCTATGGTCGAAGCCTCAACGAACCGACTTTGTGGATGAATGTAGGGTCGAAACCTTTCAAGCTGAGGCTGCAGACGCAGGTGTCAGCAGACCCGCCTGGTTTGCTGGAATTTCTGAGCCGGCGACAAGTGCGACCTCCTCGAGTGCGCCAGGTGCGGGTCTGCAAATCGTCGGCATGTCGGCCACGCTTCCGAATGTGCGGCTGCTAGCGGACCGCGCTTTTTGCAGTCCTGAGAGCGGTCCTGGAGCATCTTGGAGCCCTCCTTTTGCAGGACTGGCTGGGGGCCAGACTCTACGTAAGCGAGGATCGACCGGTGCCTCTGAGCCTCTCCGTTGCCATGAAGGGCCAGGCCTGGACCTCACAGCGATTTCAAGTTTCGTTTCGTCAGAGTCAGGTCCTGCACCAGGACTCGAGCCTGCAGGCACGTGCGTCCAGTGAGTCTGGTGTTCCTCAGAGCAGAGATTGCCGTGCCGCCGGGGGAAACCTTCTTCGGCTCTGTCAACTCCCGAGTTGGGTTGCTGCTATGGCTTTCTGGAAGCCCTGTGGCTGGAGGCAAGCAGGCCTCTCTCGAGAAACAACCGCGACCCAGATGGGCTTGTGCCCTTGGTTTGGGTGCGGCCCTTGGGCAGCTGCAACTGAGAGCTGCGGAAGTGGTGAATTTCTTCGGATTTTGGCAGGAGTGTGTCTCAATGCAGCAGTCTGTCCTCGTGTTCTGTGCGACAAAGGCAGGTGACTTGGTGTTCTTTGCTGATCTCTTGATGTACATGACAACTCTTGCAGCATTCGGAGCAAGTGACAGCCATGCTGCAATTAAAACATCGTTGCTGGTGGGCGAGCTATTGGCAACAATTGGCAAAACAATCTCGAGCGACCACTTGCGATCCAGAAGAGTCCCGAAAACTGGCACCCGAAGGAAGCTGTGCAAAGATATGCAGACGCCTGATGACGCCTCACTATGCCTCACTATTCGCCTCGCTTAAGAAATACTACAACTCCGGTCACGTAATCAGCGGCAACCCGCACAACAGTAGTCTAACAGAGGACAGAAAGGCTGGATACCACCCGGAGTGCTCAGGATTGGTGCGAGAAAGCCGCCGCCTTGCTGGCCGATGAAATGCCTCGTCTGGATCAGCTGGAGAAGGAGAACTCAGGTGCACATCCTCCTGCGCACATGATGTATCCGATTGCACTCCTGGGAGCAGCCCCTGCGTGCAAGGTCACACCAATGTTTCGACCTTACAACCGCGTGAATGCAAAACTTCGAGCTCTGAGTTTGTGTGCATGCGGCATAGTTTGCACAGAGAGTGTTTTGGTTTTCAGCTTCGAACTCTCCACGTGCCCTCGTGTCTGATGGCCATATCAGGCATACCAGCAGGGTCAAGGTCAGAGGTGTCGGCCTTAGTGGGGGCCATCAGCAGCTTCGGCTGCTTGCCTTCTGTCTTGGGCTTGCGGGCCCGAGAAGACGCATCCTGTGGCTTGCGCAGAGGCATGCCGTCTTTTCGCTTGAAGCGACTTGATACTGTACCTCCATACTCTTAGCCAGTGAAGCTAACAAATCAGCATGACTACAGCTGCTCAGGCTGCAGCTCGTCGAGGAATTGAAGCAGACGCCGGGGCCCAACCTCACAGCTCCATGCGAGCTTGCAAGCTATCCAGCTTCGATTCAATTGATCAAGTATTCCAGGCTAAATCGCGGATTTTTGAAGGAACTCCTTCGCTCTGCAGAGCTGCGCACCCCTGTTGAAGGCATCGGAGCCGGCAGTCATGGAACGAAACGAAGAGTGCTGTCCATACCAACATCAAGCTCCGATGGTGAAAACGCACGCTTGCCTCATTCCCGGAGGGCCCGCTTGAATCCCACCCATCGCACAACAGATACTTTTGCACGGATGCAGAGGGCATATCCGAATACTGTGCATGGCGTAGCCTCAGGCATTCGGGCCTGTGCCCAATCCTTGCTCGGACTGTGCCAAGCTCCCAGCAAGGGCCGCAAGTGGCTGGCACTGTCGTCGTGCCTACAACCTGCAGACCTGTGCAAGCTCTGTAGGCTCAACGGCGTTGCCTACCACCATGCAGGCGCAGCGATTTTCTTGTAAAATTCCAGTATCTCCACTTCAGCGTCTGTTCGGACAGGTCTCACAACAGACGAGCGCGGCCTGCTGGAGGCAGCTTACCGGAAAGGAGTCCTGCGCCACTCGGGGCTGATTGGCCAGATCCTGTTTCGATGATCGTGTTTTCATGGCCCGTCGGGTAACACGAAGGCTAGGCCATGTTCTTGTGCATCCGAGGCTGTCTTTGTGCCACGTCTACTCTGGCTGCAGGAGCCCGGCACTCAACCGTTCCAAATCATAGGCATCCCACGTGGTGCTGTGCAGTCGTCGACCGCACCACCATCCGCACACATCCGCACCAGACCCTTTCTCTCCGAGTTTGCTGAAGATCTGGTGCGCGGACGCTTGGCTGTCTTATGCTTCCCAGGTGAACCTTCCGGCTCGGCGTGTCATCATTCGTTCCATGAAGGCGCTGAACGAAGGGAAAGGCTTGCGAATCTCAAGCCTCGCCGAGTCAATATATTGGAAAAGATGATCTTTCAAACGCTTGCAAGTAGCCGCACCCCTCAGACAGTCCTGATCTCCCGACCCACGCGAGTTGCACATCACTTGTCTTGTTCCGCAAGGTGGCATGCGTAGCTCAACAGTCTTGAAGATCGTTCCGCGCAGGTTGGAAGAGATCCTCTGGATGCTGTCCGGTTCAGACAAATGGCAGGGAACAGATCTCAGCTCCACAGCTGACCCAAAGTCGGCTCCGTAAACTTCGGCATTTTGCCTAGGCGCGCTGGGCGCGTGGGCTTCGATACAGAGGCTCACGACCTCAACTCCACCTTGTTTGGCAGTGGAATCGGTGCCAGGGAGAGTGCATTGTGATGGCGAGAACACTGAAAGAAGCCGACGAGGCCACCGAGTCTTGTGGTCGCGGCTGCATCGGAAAGAGACTCGTTCCAGCTGACTTGAAAGGCTCGCGGCCTCTTTGCTTCCCAGCTGCAGCCTCTGCGGCATCAGCCTTAGGTGGAAGCATTGCTTTTGACGAGACTCTGGGCGCCTTCCCACAGAAGCCCCGCTCTGTTTCCATGCAAAGCTCAGCTTGTGAAAGTCAGGTCAGCCTTGGGGAAGGAGCGCTTAGTCAGCTTCCCGGTGTCGAAACCTGGTGTGACCTTGTGGCTGTGGCTACATGACTTGGGCTCAGGTCAGGGCAGTGCTGGAGGTCATCAGCCTGGGACTCGTCCGCACGGTGGAAGAGCTCGAAGTACGCTTTGCCAGGCACGAATCCATTTCTGAAGCTCGTCTCGGCTGTAGAGCCCAGAGACTGTTCAGGAAGCTGTTCCGCTGTTGCGAAGAGTGGCTGGGTTCTCAGCTGCGAGTGGACTGTGCTCGAGGCTTTAGGGTCACCGTTGCATGAAGAATCTCCTTGTCCTCAGCATGCTGGGACGAGAGGGCTCTTGGAGCAGGGCATACCAGGAACGAGCGTCTTGCTGACAATCCTAGTTCCAACACGCATGCAGCATGTAGAAGGCCTAGCTCTCCCGGACTGTCGTGCTGAAATTGGACGACCTATTCATTGCGAGAGGGTGCTTCGTGCAATCTCGCAACGGCTTAAGCACGAGGATAAACATGCCGCTTTCCTGATGCCCTGGGAGTTTGCAACTGACTCAAGCTAGACTGCAACCACCAGCACCACTACCGCCACCACCGCCACCACCACCACCACCACCACCAGCAGAAGGTGCTGTGCATAATTGTCGTCATCGCAATCATTGTTGGCGTCATTATCAACTTTCACTAGAACTACTGCACGGTCATGATCATGAAAACGGTCGTCTATCGGGAAGGCAGTACATAGGTGAAAGTAAGCTTCGGACAAGAGCTGCTCAGCGGAACAAGTCGAGAAAGCAGGGTCCACAGCAGGTCCTCAACCTGCAGCAGTCCGGGTGTGATGGCCGTGCTCCTGGCAATTTACACGGTGGTTCAGAGCTTCAAAAAGATCTTTCGAAGCTGGATCCTGACACAGGCTGCTCCCGTAGTCAATGACATGTAGCAGGTGCCGTTAATATTCATGTTCGCAGATGTCCACAGCTGGCGCGCCGCGACTCTCTCAGGCTGTTCCGGCAAGTTTGCTGCAAGACCTGCGTTCGGCACTCTGTTCATTGAAGGCTCGGTTCTTCCGCGCTGTAGCCCTTCCATGTGATGTCTGTGAGAGCTTGAAGCACTCTGCAAGGCGCAGCAGCTTGTCGAAGTGGACGACCCCCATGTTGCCTGCTCAGAAACTCCGATCCCTTGCGGGGTCTCCTGCGAAACTCTTGGGTTTCCGTGCGTGCGTCGCGCTCCCTTGGGGCGTGGTGGCGTGACAGGGCTATCCGAGCATCGCCAGCTCCGAGCCTGAAAGCCAAGGCCAGCCTGTTGGCTTTTTTTTGTCGCATGTCGCATGGGCCCATGATTAGGCACGGAGGTGTATTCGCCCCAGGCCGGCGGTGGACGGTGAGATCCCAGGCAGAGGTTGCAGTGCTTCCACAAAACGTGCAGAGGCCACAATTCGGTCAACTCCTCTCGGCAATGGCATCGTCCATTCCGCCCTCAAGCCCGAGGAGGTCGCGACCAAAACAGCATTGAAAGATTGTGCCAGAGATGTGGGCCGAAGGCATTAAGTGTGTTCTCGGATCTTCAGAGAGCCCGGAAGTGTCTCTGCCTGGGGCTCGTGAATAGAACCCGTCCAGCCTCCCACTGATTTATTGCTCGCGAGGTCTGGACAACGACCTGCATCTGATCTTCCTGGCCACACCGGCTGCATCCGTCACCATCGAGCCGGACGAGACCTTAGTTGTTACATGACTGCTGCCTGGCGCCCCGGCATGCCTTGCGAACACACAGATGCTCCCAGCTGTTTGACACAACTGGATATGCTAGCTCTTGCACATGTGAATGCGGCTTCTTGTGAGGACTGGGCAAGATACCTGAGTTATTACGAGCGACTCCAGTCCAGAGATCGTGTCAAGGGCCAAGCTTCAATTTTCACAGCAACAGTTAACAGGTACTTCTTGCTTCTTGACGATCGTGTCCGCAGGCTGTTTCTGATGCCGTCGGAGTCTCACATCACTTTCTGCTGAAGCAGGCCCACGGGAGGGGTTTTCCGAGCTGTCCCTTAATCCGCTGCTTCGCCTCGAGGGTTGCGCCATGTAGCCAAGAATTGCACAGCCGCCACTCGACGAATCTTCCTTTGGCGTAAACGCGATGGGCTTTCCGGGGCTGCTGTTCACTTAAAGGTTCATGGGACTTAGTAACTAGGGATATAAGTAAGGTAACTATACCTATAACTGCTTATAGCCCCAATTAAGGTACTTGTAAACTGTACTTATTAAGTCCCATGAACCTCCATGTACCCCTAAACCCTTATTAGAATAAGGTTTTGGGGCCCAATATACTATAATTGTACTTGTTAAGTCCCATGAACCTCCAACCCATGCTCAGTCCATGGGGCACCGCGGGCCGCTGCCTGGAAGCAGCGGCGACTGGCGCCAGGAGAGCGGCTTCTGCAAACCGTAGGAAATCCTAGCATTAAGGAAAAGCGATGCGAAGGCCCACGGTGCTGCCCGGGGGCCGTGGTGAATGTGGCAACAAGGGTGAATGGTGATCGTAAACCGAGCATGCTACTCTAGCGACGTGCATTCCTGAAAGTTTCGGCTGAGATGCTAGCACGGAAGCCTGATGCTCTCCGTTTTACAAGGATGGTGCGGCTGCTAATGAAGATGGTGGTGATGATGAAGAAGAAGATGCCGCTGCTGCTGAGGCAGTGGCGGTGGCGGCGGCGGCGGTGGTGGTGGTGGTTGTTGCGGTTGATAAATTGTTGTTGTCGCATGTTGTCGCAATCCTCGTCGTCGTCGTCGTCCTCGTCGTAGCCATACTGTACCGATGTTGACGACGATGGTGATGCATGGTCGTGGACATGGTGGTGATGGTGGTGGTCGTGCTGCTGCTGATGACGATGAAGATCATCATCGACATCATAGCCGCCTACTTCCAAGCAACGGTTCGCCCTCGAAGGACCGCGAGCGCGTCACGGCCTTGCCACGGTCTCAGCGGAAGAATCTTCACTCGGAAGTCGTTCATATAGGATTAATTCTTAATTGCTGTTGCGCATGGCAAAGGCACCGGCGCTTTTGGGCAGCACTTGCACTGCGAGAACTCGCTGCTGAGAATCCGCCTGCTCGTGCTGGCCCAAGTCCTTGTGTCTGGCGCCAGGGGCTGTTTTCCGAACGTGGCTTGTGCCAAGAGGAGTTGCCAGCGCCTTTGCAGCTTCAAGGGGCTCACTGTCTTGACCTTGGCTTTCGGCTCTGTGACAGTCTAACTGCCTCACTCATGTTCTCCATGTCCAAGGCAGGCGTTGCAGGGAATTGCGGCCACCTACTGCGGAATGGCCGGACCCTTTCTTCCGGTCACGGGAGACTGTGATGACCGGCTTGGCCAGGTACGCCAGTTGTGCGAAAGGGTGCACTGGAATGACATGGTGCCCCATCAATGAATTCAGCTCGTAGCCGATTGCTTTTTGTGTGTAGCATTCTGGTCCATGCCGTGTTTTGCAGGCAGCACTGTTCGATTGTCTGATGCCGCGCCTAAACTTCGGTGCTGCGACGGAGGTCGGAGAGTGGGCAGAATTAGGTTTTGCGCTTGTTCTGGTTGAGCTCCACGGGAGGCGCTGCCTTTGTGCCGCATCCCCGGAGTCCGAGACTGAGCACGAGGTGGCCGCACGGTAGCCAAAGTCAGAGGACTCAAGCTGGTGGCTTCTCCGCACGGCATCGTTTTTCAGTGTAATTTGCGTATGCTTATGTTTAGTGATTTCCGCCAACTTCTCAGCATTCAATGCACGCAGACAGCTTCAGGGGATGTGTTGCTATCAAAGAGGCTCCCAAGAAGATATTGTAGGATGTTGGCTGCACGTGCAGCTTTCAACGCTGGACCGAACTCTGGGAGCTGCCTGCCAGCCTCCTGAGGTGTTTAAATTCTCCCGCCTCTAGACTTATCTCATCTCATCTCCTGGAGGTCACACGGTGTGGGCGCCTGTGCTTTTATGGGTTTCAAAGCCTCGTAAATTCCAGGCATGTTGCCGGAGATACGCTGCAACTGAACTTCCATGATACTTGGCCAAGCAGTTGATCAAAAATGCACGCCGCTCCAAGCACCTCTGAATGCGAGCTGGTGTTTTGCACCGAAAGCAGATGTCGTTTGATCGCCGAGCTCTTCATCTAAATTGGATCTTGCCCACTTTCCGAAAATCGACCATGTTTCACGCAGACAAGGCTCAACGGCAACTTGCTAAGGCTTATGTGATCATTTGTTGCTGCACCTGCAAGTTTGCAGCCTGCTGCAGCAGTCATCTTGCCAGCAAAGGTCCACAGCGCGAGAGCAAGGGCCCTGCTGCAGGACCGGCGAACATGCCATTTGCTGTAGCGAGATCGACTGAAAGGAACGAGCCCCTGTGCATAGCCGCTGGGGCATTTGAGCATCACTGCAGCAGGTTGGCCTCTCCAAGGTTGAAGAGGTCGTCTGAAGCTTGGGGTGCTCGCTGCCTTGTCCCTTGCGATGCTTGCCACAGCTAGGTCAGGGCTTGCTGTGTTTTGTTGCATGAGGCACAGTCGCCAATCTCCATGGTCGAGTCTGCTCTCAAGAAGCTTTGCCAGCTGGATCCTTGCTGCCACCTCAACTTGTACGAAGCTTCGCAAGATATCCAGCAAGCGTCAGCATCGGAGGTGAGCCGAGTGCAGCCCATCATCAGGAGGCCTTTGAGCCTCAAACTCTCCCGAAAACCTGGCTCTGACTCGGATCCAGGCTGTCATCCGCGAAGCAGCAGCCCGGATTATCCAGGGAGCGTGTGGGCCTCGTCGAATTGGACCCGTGCCTTGATGCCCTCAGCGCTGTCTTTTTAGGCAGCAGCAAATCAACGCCGAACTGCAGAGAATGCAGGCGCCCCCTGACTCTCAGCCCGTTTCGCTGCTTCAGCAACGCGGAGTTTCATTGCAGCAAAGCTCTTCATTGGAGGACGAGACGGAAGAGGCTCGAGCACGTGCTCTCCTCAAGTTTTTTCTTGGTTTCGACATGGCGCGGCAACTTTCCCGTACGGGTTTGGGAGAGATCGCTTCTCACAGAGGCTTCTTCCGGAAGGGCCCCGGCTGGACTCAGAGCGGCTGCCCTGGAGCTCCCGTGTTGCTTCGAGAAATCTGCGCAGCCCTAAGGCTCGGCTTGAGTGGCCCGGTAGGGGGACGGGGTCTCAGATTGGGACTGCAGGGGTTTTGCAGCCTCAGCCTGGAAAAAGGGGTGGACATCGACCTCCTTGGCAGGATCATGTGTGCGATCACACCCGAAACCCTGATGTCAACTGATGTCCCGCAGTTTTCGGAAAGGGGGGCTCAAGGGGTTTACCCCCCAGAACAGCTGGGCCATGAGGCGCTTTGATAGCTGTCTTGTCCGTTGTGTTATGCATCTATCTCGTTCTGCATCCTGGCTGTGCAGTCAACATGGTGTGCTGCGGCCGGTTGGGGCAGGATTCGGACGAAGTCACACCAGGACGACAGCTTTTCGACATGCCTCGACTTCAGGGGCAGTGCGGACACTACAAGAGAATGAAGTGCCTGATGAAGCAATACCCACGTCGGGACCCTTGCAGCTGAAGAGTGCGGGCCAAAACGATTTTCAGTGCTTCTTCAGGTCCTCTAAAAATGCCGCCAATCCGGAGGCCTGCTGGCAAAGGGGGTTAGCATTGTTTTCTATCCAGTGCGACCATTGAACTTGTGCTGAAATAGAGTGGCAGGCAGCAAAGACCACAGTGCGTGAGTTCGATCCCAAGCTAAGTTTGACTGCATTTCAAGCATGTTGCGAAGAGACATGTTGGTAAAGTTCCCATGTCTCGTCGCTCATGAACTTGCTCGGGTTTTTGAACGATTCTTCTCCGACACTTGTTGGTAGGAGTCAAGGGTGTGTAAGAATTTCAACTGCTGATTTTTCTGGATCCCCAAAGGTTCGGCCTCAGTGTGGCAGACTTTGGCGGCCTCGGTGGGCGCACGTCGGGGCCTTGTCAGCTGCCAATGAGTTCGTCAAGAAGATACGTTTGCGTGGCGCAGGTCCGCTGATAGCTTCCGAGGCAACGGTTGCAGAGACCATCAGAGACCCTAAAACCCAACAGCCGCCTTAAACTCTTCTGTAGGAGCCGTTATAGACTCTGTTCTAGGCTGCCGTATGGCCCGACATATTGACAGCTTGGCGCTCGGGGTCGCAGCACGGGAGGCTTTGGCTCCCTGGGCGCGGCGACGCCAACCGGGTACGCCCCCAAGGGCTTCAGGGGAAGAGACGCAAGGCGTGCCAGGAGCAGGAAGAGGGCGTCATCTCAAAGCTAAGGCGGTTCGAGAATTTCATACCGTTTGCTGGAGGTACACCCGCCACCGGAAACGTCCGGCTGATGAAGCCTGCTTTGTGGACGATGAGCCAGCCTCTTGAGAATCATGCAGCCAGAGTGTTGAGTGATGCCATAGCCATAGTCCACAGGGCCATCACTGACGAAGATCGGGCAAACTTGTCACTTGAGGTTTCGAACGCCAGAGTCTTCTGCCAGGCTTCTCCCGTTCATCCAAGAGCAAGTGCCAAGCTTCGGATCGGTATGGTTCCTCTTTTAAGTTGTTTGGTTGCCACATCCTGCTTCCCATTCGCGTGAATTACGACAGCATATCGGGCAACTCGTTGCATCAACATTTCATAGGAGTTCTCAGAATCTGGCATTCACCACCTGCAATTTTATTGGGCGAACAGTCTCCACGACGTACTACTATCGAAATGAAGTAGGTGAACCAACAGGAAAACCCAGCATGAGTGACCCTGTGAATCCTTACGGATGCCGCATGTAGCCAGAATTGAAAACCATTTCTCCTTTTAACGACCCGTCGCTTACAGAGCACTGTAAGCTTGATGTCTGAATGAACGTGAACTCGACACAACCGACAACATGCCCACTTGTGCTGGTATTCAAGCCTGAAGCTCTGCTCCCCTCTGAAGTTCTTCGATGGATGCGACTCCGACTCCTCGGCCGACGACCCTCCTACAGACACCGCCTCGCCGCAGACACCGATCGGCCGCACCTAACTCAGAGCCCTGCTTCGACCCAGAGCGTCGACACCTTGCAGAAATCCCAAGGCCAGCCCAGCTGAGCACAATGAGCAGAGTGACCGCCTCACGCCGATCAGCGAGGCTTCTGACAAGCGCTGAGTCGCAAGGTGGCATTGGACAGCATCCGTTTTGCAAGAACTGCAGGGGAGGAGGCTCCGACTAAACGAGACGGACAGCAGCACCGGATCCACTGTGCAGGAGCCATGCTGGCACTTGTCTCAAGAAGTTTCAATTGCATGGGGCGGATTTAGCCAGAGGACAGTGACATCGAGAACAAGCCTCCCGGGCTTGACCAGGAGGAGGCCAGGCTGACTGTCTAGTGAGTCTAGTGCTGCTAACTGCATGAGGTTCCCGTTTCACTGTATCGTTCCCTTGGTTCACTGGCTGTTCTAGCTGTTTGCGGCTTGACTAATTCCACCGAGAAAAGACGCTGTTTCAACTATCCGTAACTCGCAAGCCGAGAAGTAGGATCCTTCAACACCTTGAAGCAATCACAATCCTCTGCAGATCAGGACTTACACAAGACGTGAGGGTTTGCTTCTCCCACTTGCCTCCTGCCAAGGGCTTCCTGGTTTGCAAAGGCCAAGTCAGCGAACGACCCCATCAGATCCGGCCCAGACCCCCCGCTCTTCCGAAAGCGAGGTCTGTCATTCCTGACACCTGCACTTCTCACTGAAAGTCCTGGATTTTGCAACACGAAGCCGGGCGTGGTGTGGAAGCCCCCGGCGCGGGGTGTAGAGGAGCCTGGAGCTGTCAGTACAGCCTTTTACCGCGGGAGTCCTTCGCCACGTTTTATTGCCAGTCTTGTACATTTCGAGCCTGGCGACAGGTCTCAACTCCGGAACCTGCAGCCCGGGTGATGCGCTCCCCCGCTTGGGTGCCTGGGCGGCGAGCGCTGGAGCTGGGGAACGTGCTGCAGGCCCCTGCCCAGCCCCCGCCAGAAGAGAAGTGGACCCAAACTGCTACCGACCAGGAGCTTGCTCTGGATGTTCCCGAGGAGCTTACCGGTCAGGCACCGTCTGCGAGAGTCTCAGAGATGGAGGCAGTGAACGCAACTGCCAGGCGCAGGCACCAGACTCACATTCACCTCCCTCTTCCGAGGGATCCCCTCCGAAGGAGCAGCGGGAGAAGGCAGTGCTTCCATGTGTTTCCCGTTTCCAGGTCTCACATTGTCTCACAGAGGCCGCCCCTAGAAAATTCATGCTTTCGCACAGAATCTGGGGGAGCTGCTGGATGAGCGCATCGCAGCTAATGAAGGTGGAAGGCTGGGTTGTCAGTTGCTTTTTGCTTCAGAAACCAGAACTTTATTGTTCCAGGTACGCTTTCGATATCTACGTCGATCCAGAAAACCGATGAGGTCTCAGCCGTCTAAGCCGTGTGTCGGTAATGTGCCAGCTTTCAAAAGCTCCCGGAGGAGAACAGAGAATCTCGAGTGCGGATCGCGACTCGTTTCACTGCTGTGAGTACCGCAGTGTCAATCCACGCTCGGTACTTCTGCCGTTGGTTGAAGATGCTCTGTCGTGAGTTGGAAGCAGCAGAGCTGACGGCAAATTCGGCATTGAATGTTTGACAGAACTTCCGGATTTTTTCTGCACTGTAGATGGGGGAACGTGGTAGGGTGTCTAGGGGCACGTTAGACACTGCCACAGGCAAAATTGGCTGGCCCGTCTGTAATCTGTGTCCGATGGCAGTTGCGTGCTGTCAGATTCAATATTGAAGGTGGATTTTTTGGCTGTCGTGGACTACTTCTGCCCAAGAACCCGTAACTGATTGCCAACCGATCCCCATGGCAGCAAGAATGGCGTCTCCAGCTGTTGGACTCAGTCCAGTGGCTTTCACTGTGATTGGCAGTGCATCGCAGCCCCAGCTGCGAGGAGCGGCTGTGAAGGCCCAGACTCAGAGGGAGTCTACAAACGGTGCTTTGCTCCTAAGCAGCTGTGCATCAGCCTTGGGTGCCGCTGCGGTGGCTTCTGGACTCAAAGCCAGCCGCTTCGGGAAGAGGCGTAGCGGCACCGTGTGCCGTGCAACCGCCGTGATGAACAAGGCAGAGAAGCTGGCAGTCCCTGGCAAGATCCTGGACAACGTCGACATTTTCATATTCGACTGCGATGGTGTGATCTGGCGTGGAGACTCCGTCATCCCAGGAATTCCTCAGGTGATTGAAAACTTGCGCGCAGGGGGCAAGAAGCTCTTCTTCGTGACCAACAACTCGACCAAGAGCAGAGCCGGGTACAAGTCCAAGTTCACTTCCCTTGGTCTGGACGTGCAGCCAGAGGAAATTTTCTCCTCATCCTTTGCCGCTGCAGCATATCTAGAGCAGACTAACTTCAAGCAGACCGGCAAGAAGGTCTACATCATAGGAGAGAAGGGAATTGGCGAAGAGCTGGATCTTATCGGTGTCCCATGGTTTGGGGCTGAGGCAGACAAAGACAACCAGCCCAACATGGGATCCGGTGGTAGAGTAGAGGTCGACCACGACGTGGGCGCAGTGGTGGTAGGCTTCGATCGGTACATCAACTACTACAAGTTGCAATACGCGCAGTTGTGCTTGAATGAGCTGCCCGGCTGCGAGTTCATCGCCACCAACTTGGACCGCGTAACTCACCTGACCGATGCACAGGAGTGGGCTGGAAACGGGACGATGGTCGGAGCAGTCTCTGGGTGCACCGGCCGCGAGCCCACTCTTGTGGGCAAACCTGCCCCACTGATGATTGATTACATCGCGAAGAAGTACGGTATCACGGATCGCTCCCGCATTTGCATGGTCGGGGACAGGCTGGACACAGACATCGCCTTCGGTCGCAACAACGGTCTCAAGACTTGCCTGACGCTTTCGGGTGTGACCTCCGAGGACGAGTTGATGGACCGTGTGCCGCGCAAGAAGGGCACGGAAGGGATTCAGCCGGAGTTCTACGTGGAGACCATCAACGATTTCTTCGCGGGAGTTTCCAGGTGACACATTGCATCCTGAATTTGGGCGATTTGCTTCGTTGCTTCCTTGCTGTTCTGCTAACCTAGTACCTAACACACTTTTCATACTTCGGACCCTTAGAAAACCTTATAACATACGGTCAGGCGATCAGAGTGTCAAAGCCGCATCAAAGAGAACCGCACCTTTCAATTCGAGTCTTGTTGGCTGCAGCTCCGAGGCTCCTTCTTCCGGACAAGCTGCTCCTCCAGCAGCTGCTCCTCCTTCACCTGCAGCTGGTAATCCCTTCATCAAAAATTAGAGGGACCCCTCTAAGGGAGGGAAAACCCACCGTAAACCCTAGTTTCCTTAACCCAATGTCCCAATGCTGCTCCAAAGCTTAGAGGCAACAGTGTACGTTAGGATTTAAGAGCATGTGGCAGAGTTTTCCATGGACTCTGGCTCGTGAGCACAGAAACATTGTGCTCTGCACTGTACAAACGATTTTCCACAGTCCTCTGATCAAGCTGATGCTTGACAGGACAGGCTGAGACTGCACATGCGGGAAGTGAAGCAAAGTGGCCGTGCATTCGTCATATTCAGCCCCCGTGCGCCGGCCAAGATTCAGGGCCATGCTCCTGTCCCTGCCTCGAGCTCAAGCTGCCTCCGGCTTCGCACAGGCTTCCGAGACTTAGACGAATTGTATGACTCATGTGTAGAGACCACTTCCATCAAAACACACGATCTCCAGCAGGCACAACTCCGACTAAATACCTGGAAAGCCGTGAAGATGTCCGGTCCGCCGAAGTTGGACGAGCCGTCCAAGCTTCTTTCCAATGTTGACGTCTTCATCTTCGACTGCGATGGAGTGATTTGGCGAGGTGACTCGCTCATCGGCGGAGTCCCATCCGTCTTAGACCAGCTCCGCCTCGCTGGTAAGAAAATCTTTTTCGTGACGAACAATTCAACCAAGAGTCGCGTGGGTTATAAGTCCAAGTTCACTTCCCTTGGTCTGGATGTGCAGCCAGAGGAAATTTTCTCCTCATCCTTTGCCGCTGCAGCATATTTAGAACAGACCAAATTCAAGGATACTGGCAAGAAGGTCTACATCATTGGAGAGAAGGGCATCAGCGAAGAGTTGGACGCAATCGGGGTTTCATGGCTGGGTGGAGAAGCGGACAAGGAGAAAAAGGCTGACATGGGTCCCGGCGGCAGGGTGGAGATCGACCACGATGTGGGCGCAGTGGTGGTTGGCTTCGATCGCCACATCAACTACTACAAGTTGCAGTACGCACAGTTGTGCTTGAATGAGCTGCCCGGCTGCGAGTTCATCGCCACCAACTTGGACCGCGTAACTCACCTGACCGATGCACAGGAGTGGGCTGGAAACGGGACGATGGTTGGAGCAGTCTCTGGGTGCACCGGCCGCGAGCCCACTCTTGTGGGCAAACCTGCCCCACTGATGATTGATTACATCGCGACGAAGTACGGTATCACGGACCGTTCCCGCATTTGCATGGTCGGGGACAGGCTGGACACAGACATCGCCTTCGGTCGCAACAATGGTCTCAAGACTTGCCTGACACTTTCGGGTGTGACCTCCGAGGACGAGTTGATGGAGCGGGTGCCGCGCAAGAAGGGCACCGAAGGGATTCAGCCGGAGTTCTACGTCGAGACCATCAACGATTTCATTTCAGCGTCAAAGGACGCCTAAGGCGCATAAAGCTGCTCAAATTTTTCCAGGTGACAACGGGCAAATGTCCTGCGTCTACATTTCAGAGACCTTACGCGCACAGGCAAAAGTTGTTGGCTTACCAGATGGCACTGCTGGTTGCGCTGCTTGTGCTGGTGCTATCTGGTGCTTGAAGCTGCTTGAATCGAAGGCTCGTGGAAGGTCAGTTGTCGCCGCTTTGAAATCTCACAGACCGGGCCCGGGGAGCCGGGAGGGCGCCGGGGAAGGCCGCGGCGAGGTTCGGCCTTTGCAGTCTCTGCCTCTTTTTGCTCGTCCGAAAGTCTGAAGCGATTGCTGCGAGGCAGTGACCCGATGCCGCCAAAGAAGCCTCAGGAGACCATCGGGATTCGGTCCTTGGCACTGACGCATTGCTTGCTCTTGCATGTTTGTCTGCAGGCTGCCGAGCCTGTGGAGGAGGAGGTCAAGGCTCGGGGCTCAGGGGCTCAGGGGCTCAGGGGCAGGGATTTTTCCTTTTCGCGAAAGCATGCCAGTTCAGGGTTCTCAAGATACGAGATGCTATACTCAGCTCCGAAAGGCTTAGCGCAGAAATTTGGGCAGTTGGGCGTGGCCAGGAAGAGCCTCCTCCCGAGATCTTGCAAGGAGACTTCGCCACGCCCTCGGGCGACTTCTTTCTTCGGCAGAAAGCCAAAAGCATGTAGCCAGCCTTACTGTCAGGTGTTTCCAGATGGCTCGACATACTCAGGGCAATACCTGAAGAAAGGCGCCCTCGGATATTCGCAAGCGCTTTCGTGTCGCGACCTAGTTGGTCATTGTTGGCCAGGTGAGTCAATATGCATGCACGGCGATGGCCATCTGCAAAGTGGTCCGCAAACCTTCGAGGCCTCCACTCTCTGCGGCATATAGCTGACTTACAACTCTGCAGACGAACGGAGAAACGTGGCATCAGTTTGTTGAGCAGAGTCTTCATCGTGCAAGCAAAGTGCTGGTCAAATAGGGAATTGCGGTACTTGTGAATCTTGTAAATATTCCGCCGTTCCAACCCGGTTTGCCTGCCTGAGATGTCGTGTTGTCAACTTGAAACGTGCTTCATGTGCGACCAGCCTCTCTCGATCAGTGGGGCATGCACTCGGTGCATTTCGACGTGCTTTTTCCGTAATGCATGCCAGGGCTCGTTCGACAACGGCATGTACAAGGCCCTTTGTCGGCGTTTTGCTTGTGGCATCTGACCATAAGCTTTGAATGATGCTTGCATCATCTGTGCGGTTCCGTGAGCTGTGCATGTTTCGAGCTTTCTACGAGCTTAAGACTAGCTGACGCCAGATGGGCCGCTACAGCAGCTGCAGCGGTGCGGCTCTGTCCCAAGATGAGTCTAGACAAGACTGCCCTTGTGTGACTTCGACAGCTGGATCACAAGTTGAATTCGCAACGGCCCCAAGTCTCAGCCAATCTGGCTGATGTAAGGTGTACACGGGCCATTTTCGGAAAAACCAATTCCATGGAGTGCCTTGGCTGCAGTGTGGGGGTTTGGCCGCATGCTGCGATGCCTTTCCAGAGTTGCTTCGGTCCTCCTCGCGAAAACCATGTCTCAAAACACATCAGAAGACGAATTCGAGGTTGGCGACTACAAGTGGCCCGATGGTCGAGAATATCGCGGCACGCCCGAGGCCCGGCATCAATGGCAGGCTCGAAAGCCCCGTTAGTCGTGTCAGTCCTGCGGTGGCTCTGGGCCGTGCTTCAGGGTAGATGACGTGATGAGTGTCGTGATGTGTAGCAACGGCGCTTCGCATAAAAGGCAGAGGACATGTCAAACAGCGCAGAAAGCGATCTTTCCACATCCACATCCACACAGATCCAGATGACGAAGCGTTCCGACCCACTTTCACGTTTAGAACCCGGCGCGGTGTGCATGCTCGCCGGTCACAGAAGCCCCGGGAGCTTTGACAAAGTAAGCTCCCATTGTACCTGGACGATCGTCGCCGGTTGGGTCTCGTCTTGGTTCTTGGCCCGGCCACGGTGTCATGTGTACGGCGGTTTATTGTCCCTGTCCGGCCCGTCTCATCGACTCTGTGATCGTCGGGGGCTCCTCAGCAGTGACGTTTACTTTCCTGCAAAATTGTCCACGCACTTTGAAAGCATCTTTAGGCATAGTTTGTGCTTGGATATGAGGTTTCTGCGAGGTGGGCTTCAGCTTTCTCTTGCTCAGCTAAGTACTATCTGCTTTTTGAAGACGCTTGCCTGAGCTGGGGGCTCTCAACGTGCTTGACTCTGAGGTGGAAAGATGGGTTCATGCATGGTTACGGCATGTACCTGTACTTCTCTGTCGGAGCGGACAAGGCCAGACACAGAAAATTGCAGGACAATGTCGCCTCATATGCGGCAAAACATACTTTTTGGCTCTCTCTGTTTTGCCCTCGGGAAGCTTGCACACTTGCATGTTGTTCTTCCTTGTCAGCGCTTCATGGGCTTCTCGATGAATGGCAAGTTCGCCTCTGGAGCTGCTGAACAAGAGGAGGCCCGCTGCAGGCTTTGGGGGACGATCCCTCGAGGGAGCCGAAAAATCGCGGGGGAGGCCACAATGAAGGCTTTCCTGCAGGAGTATGGCGCTCAATGCGCCGGGCTTCCCAGAGGGCACTGGATTGCAGCAATGAGTCTTGCCCCCCAATCATGCCGAGGTCCAGAGCGCAACAGCAGCTTTTCGAGAAATGGCAGAGAAGACAGCTGCTGATGGCGCACCGTCCTCAGCCAGCAACTCGCGCAGAGTGCTCCTTTTGCTCAGCTGGACTTGCCAGCACCTTGCCAGGTGCCAGCAGATTTCCTGATTGCCAAGGCCTGGGGATAACACCACGTTGAGACATTTACTTTCGTTCTACACCGCTCTGGAGCATCCGACGGGAGCCGAAAGAATGGCAGAGTTGATGCTGCGCGTCGCGGCAAGCAGACCTGTCAGGTTCTTGAGTCCCATTTGCGTCTTTGATCATCTCGTACTGAGACACATGCGGGAAATCGAATCAACGGTGTCGACAAGTGTCGCAGACGTGATGCCTCCAAAGGACGCCGATGGCAAAGCCGAGAAGGTCTTGGAGGATGGGGACCTGCTTTCAAACGCGTATTTAAGGGCTTTTCGGAAGGGGGTGTAACGACCTGTGCTTGGAGGCAGTGGGTGCGCATGAGATCCCTTGTGATGACGTGAATTTCTCCATGCAGGACATGGTGGCTGCGCCATATCCCGACGCTTCCGCGGCAACGCAGGCGAGCGTGTCGATGTTTCAGCACCGTACCGTTTAGCCCTGAACCCTTTTTCAGCTCTGCAGGACGAATGGACTGGGCATGTTCGGGTAGTGACGGGTAGTGCAGATGTTTTGGATCCTCGGAGCCCATGCCTGGGGAGCCTCCGCCATGGCCTCCCAAACCGGTATTCCGTTGCGGAAAAAGGCGATCAAAAGCAGCCTCTGCCAGGCTTCACTGCAAGCCTTCGCAGCACGGCTGTCCGCAGAAGAACAACCCTTGCAGGTTGGGTCTGCATGCTTCTGCCTGCCGTGGTGGCATTTTCGTTGTAGATTGTAACACCACAGCCAGAGGTTGGGGTTGGGTGCAGGGGTTCTGCATGGGAGGGACCTGCGGAAACTTGTGCAGGGCAGCGCAGTAAGACAGAAGCTTGGTCTGGGATCCTTTCGCCATGCCTTGCTTTTGCCTCGTTCAGGTCTCCGTGTACACCGGCCTGACTAACAAGAAGTTGGTCTTGCCGCTGAGCGAGGCGATGTGGGGGAGTTCGGGGCACTTCTCCTTCGTTTGCTTCTGCATGCACGCACGTGCAGTGTAGACAGTAGACTGTTAATGGCAAGTCTGTGTGTTCTCCTAGGATTTTCGTCCTAAGCCGAGCATGCGAGTCCTGAGCCGATCGTCTTTGATGCGTCGCGGGAAGAGCGGCTTCAGAGACTCCCGCGCGTCTTGCATACGCATTATCCCCGTGCACCCATGTTAGGCATCTTCTAAGCATTTTTGCATCCTTTCCGTCCTTTGGTGAGGGAAGCACTTGAAGCTCCATGCCTCAGGAGTCGACGTTCTCTTGTCTGGGAGCAGAAGACGTACACATGGATGGCGCCAGACTAAAGCACACCCAGCTGCAAGTGGCCAGGGCCTCGCAGCAGGTGCAAGGACTACAAGTGCTGTGTTTACACAGAACATCAACTGACTCTACTTTGCTCGACTGGCTGGCTAGGTCGTGCGTGCAGCTTATTCCAATGCATAAATCCGAGCACCCGGGGTCCTAGTCCCCAACCGTGGCACCGCATCCTTCCGTGAATTAGATCCATCCCTGCGCCTGAGCCCAGCCTGTACCTCAACAGAAGGGCTAGAGACAGTGAAGGTGCATAACGATGGTGATGATGCCGGTGGTGACAAGGGCCACTACCCACACTCGCGGCACCACCCCTGCGCGGCCCAAGGCAGGCCAAGCCGTGGAGTTCTTCTCAGAGGCGGAAACCGCAGCTTGGCGCACGGAAGTCTAGAGCTTCACATGCTCTGAACCCCCCTAAAGGGCCCCCTGAACTCGGAAAACTCTGAGAAACAGCAGAGGCTGGAGCTCTACGGGCCGTGGTGCTTCTGAACACGGCGTCCGAGTTCGCTCTGAGCTCAGCTTTCACCGCATCTGGGTCAGTGCCTTGAGGGATTTTGCGATGTTGCTGGTGGTCTCTCTGATTGCCAAGGAGTGGGAAGCAGCCAAATGGAAACTTGTACACTGTGAGAGCGCATGAGTTCATTGCATGTGCAATTTCGACGAATCCATGATCGGGCTTATGTCTGAAAGTCTATCCTCTAATCTTTGCAGTCCGGAACGTACGAGTACGGGTCGACAGGCTACACAGCAGATGGATTTATTGTAGGTCGCCTTTGGGGTCTGCCAGCCAGACTCCCGCGTGTCACAACGATGCATGGTCAAACCCTTAGCAATCCTCTTGGGCTCAATGCCTCAAAGAGAGCTAGCCGAACAGAATTCCTGGCGGCGAAAATAAGATCACGAAAGAATAAGATGAGAATTCACTATATTTATATGAGAATTACGGCGAATGATTGGCTGGGGCTGGGGGGTCCAAAAACTGGGCAAGAAGACATAATCGAATTATTAGACAATTTATCTTTTTTGATAATCTTCGATCATTTGAAAAGAATACCAACAGTTAATATTAATAGTTATTAGATCTAGTGATAGGTTTAAGTCGTCTCCGCCGGGGAGAAGTCGTCCCAACTCCATGTGCCGCAGGGTTTGGGCTAGTTTTCAAGACCATCATATGTTGGTTCGCATCCGGTATCTAGTTTCTGCACGATCCAGTACTGTCTTCTCTGGGTTACGGTTTACAATGTCGCTTATGTCTCGAACTGGTGCTTGTATAATTGAGCGTCAATAAGGGGAATGAATGGCTGGCTTTGATTAGTTGTTTGCTGCGATGCCACTATGTTTCTCGAGCTGGTGCTTGAAAAATCGAGCGTCTACCTGGGTGATGGTGCGAAATCGAGCGTCTATACGGGGAGTGGCTGATTTTAATTTGTTGTCGCTGATCTATTTCTTATATGGGTAATTGAAAAATCGAATATTTAGATGGAATATGGCTGATTTTGATTGCTGGGAATGATTGATTTGGATTTGTTAGATATATTTCTTGAATGGCTATTTCGAAAATCGAACATCTATATTTCTGGAATACGATTATCTCTCGATGCGAATATTTCGTAGAAATGATTTCTAAGATAATATTCGATATATAAATATTATTTAGCATGATGATTGATTCAAAATATAATATAGATTTTTAGATCTTATCTCGTTTTGAGAGGGAAATATTTGATCGGATGATTATTTAGTATATATCTACTTGGGAATTCATAATTTATTATTTCGAAATGATTGAATTTTGATTATTTATAATTGAATAGAATTATTCTATATATATTTCTTGTTTATTGGATGCTTATAAAATCGAAGATCTATAAAGGGAATGGTTGATTTTAGTTTTCTATTTGATGGGATATGGTTGATGCATTTCTAGAGCGGGAATTTATTAAATTATATATATATATAGATTCGAATTAATATTATGAGATATTATAGATAATATGAATATAAATATAGAAATGAATATCTATATGGAGAAAGACTAATTGAATTTGATTCATTATTTCGGAGTCAATTATATAATCTTTCAGAGAATTACTCTAAATTATCGATTCTAGATTTATGAGGTCTTTATTTAATATAAGATATTGAGATATAGATATCTTTATATGGGTAATAACTGCTTGAGATTATTTTTTCTAAATATTTGAATACGCATATATAGAGAATCGTTGGCTCTGCTAAATTATAATTCTTTAAATATGATTCTTATATATATTTTTTTGAAATCAGATATCTATATGAAGAGTAGCGTATTTTTCATAATTATTTTATTAATTTAAAAGAAATATATTATCTATTCTGGGGGGAAATCACATTCATATATTTATATTATAATATCTTCATATTATGAATATCCCCATAGAATATTCTAAAACCATATACAAATTTTTGCTAGACCCACCCCCCTGGACCAACCTTTCA